CCTTGCACAAAGGCGGAGGTAGCAGTCCTGATGCTGGGTTGTTGCCCTCCTACGGCCTTCTCCATATCTCCTGATGTACTGGCCTGTCTCCTGGTAGCGCCTCCATGCTCTGGACACTACACTGATAGACACAGCAAACCTTCTTGCCACAGCTGGTATTGATGTGCCATCCTGGATGAGCTTGTGTGGGTTGTAGACTCCGTCTCATGCTACCACTAGAGTGAAAGCACCACCAGCATTCAAAAGTGACCGAACCATCAGCCAGAAAGCATAGGAACTGAGAAGTGATCTGTGGTCACCACCTGCAGAACCACTCCTTTATTGGGGATGTCTTGCTAACTGCCTATACTTTCCACCTGCTGTCTATTCCATTTGTACAACAGCATGTGAAATTGATTGTCAATCAGTGTTCCTACCTAGTGGACAGTTTGATTTCACAGAAGTGTGATTGACTTGGAGTTACATTGTGTTGTTTAAGTTTCCCTTTATTTTTTTTGAGCAGTGTACAATGAAGTGGATTCTTAGGCTTCATCTCAGAGCAGTATTTCTTAATCTCAGCCACTTTAAGATGTGTGGACTCCAACCACAAAATTCCCCAGCAAACACAAACCAAATTAATATTGTGTTCATATTCGCCAATTTGTACTGTAGCTGACTTAATAAATGATAGTGGATTTTCTCACCAGTTGACTTGGTCAACAAACCATAGTTAGCATGATGTGCATATTGGAAATCTGAGTGAAAGCAAGAAAAAATCGGAATGAAAATACATACATGGTTGGAAACTATGATCAAGCAACATATAGATCTGAAACAAGAAACATTTTTGTTGAGTATAATGCTGGAGGGCTATGATAAAGGGACTATATATCTGGTTTTGCATAAATTGACAGCAGCGAGGATTGTATCTGCACAATACTGGAAAAATGAGAACACTCCATTAGGTGAGGATGTAAAATATTAGACTGTGCAGAGATGGATAGATTGACATTAAAAATAAAGGACAAAGAAGATACAGAATACTACTTAACATGGAATAGATTTTACGAGTGGTTAGAGATAAGAAGTAGACATTAGATGAAGAAAATTGCTTATGAATAAAGATGGTTAATAATTATAAATATGCCAATATAACCAACAGAATTACAAATAAGCTATTATAAAGAGAGCTCTAGTTAAAACTATTCTGTTACACTATTACTATTGTTATTAGTATCTGTTAATATTCCTTTCTGTTCTTTCTTTGCTTTTCTATAAATGATATACCCTGACAATACACTGTATTCAAAATGTTTTGTGTGTGTGTGTGTGTGTGTGTGTGTGTGTGTGTGTGTGTATGTGTGTATAAATCTGAGTGTCCCCACCAATAATGTCCATAACAAACTATGATGTCAACAGGTGCCTCTTGTGCAAATGATGTGATTATTACCCCAGGATGTCTGCTGCAATTATGTACATCACATCATTTGTACAACCACCCCATACCTGCCTATAGTTCCCCAACTCACCACAGCCAACTCATTGCAGCAAACTTGCTGCAGCCAACTCGCTATGGCCAGCTCGCCATGGGACAAGAGTTACACTTATATCAAAGAAATAGTGGAATAGAATCATTGAAGAAAGGATGTCGAAGGAGGGACAGAATGAAATATGAATGACAAAGACAGAGAATAGATGGGGGCAGGGCCAGTCAGAGGTGGGATTTGCTGGTTCTCCAAACTACTCCAAATTTCCGCTAGTGGTTCTCCAGAACTGGTCAGAACCTGCTGAATGACACCCCAGGAGTTGGCTGCAGCAAGTTGTCCCATTCCATTCCCGCGAAACATCTTTCCTTGGTTTCTTCCTTCCTGGTAATTCTGGCCAAAGAATACCCTGCAGCGTACATTTAGCGGTAGTTTCTCTGACCCAAGCATGTGACAAAATGGCAAATTTAAAATGTACATATTTCAACTTCCGGAATTCCCTAGCAATTCTGGGAGTTGAAGTCCACACTTAAAGGGTTAATCTTAACGGTTGAGAAACAGTGGCTTAGAAGGATAGGCAAACCTAGTTATTATGATTTAAAGGGCTATTACAAGAAGATGGTATGAATTTCCAAAGAATGGAAAGACGCCAACTTGAAATAAAAAGGAATTTCCTGCACATGGACAGGTAGCAGCTGCATTCTGGGGTTTCACAGAGGAGTGTTTTTCTTTTCCCAGTTCTATCCAGAAATACTGTGAATTAAACAGGGCTCTTTGCTTGTAAAGCAACTACTGCATTGCCAGATTCCCTAATAGCACCGTTCCTTTACAAGTGGCAGGTTCATTTCAGTCTTTGCAGAGTTCAGCTGCAGAGATTTCAACTTTCTCCTTAACATCTGACCAGGCCAAACACAATTTTGTTTCCTTGTTTCCTTCCTCCCACATTAAACTCCCCTTTAGAAATAAATATTTGAAGGAGGCCCTTTACAAAGTAACGAGCCATAAATCCACAGGGAAGACTTATTTAGGAATAGAAAGTTTGTTACAAGCCATTGTCTTCTTCCACAATGTTTCTTCTTGCTTGCACAACAGCACTTCCCCACAACAGTCCAGTTCCTTAATTTTGTTGCGGATGGGTCAGTGAACAGGAATGTGCAAAAATAATACAGCAGAAGTAATGTGCAGTGTTCTCATCCAGGAGAAAGAACCTGCCTTCCTCCTTATTAAACAAAAATACTGCGCACAAGGGTTATCTTCCTCAGGCTTAAATACCACCATCTGTTTTAGCAAGTATGCCTTCTAATTAATTACTGTCCAGTCTAAAACAGAAAAAAAAATGTATGAGATTCCAGGATATACAAAACAGGCCCTCCATAAAAGTAATAAACAAGATCTTCAAAGATCAGCTTGCAGCCTACTCAAATTGGCACAGGTTTTCCATTTATAAGGCAAATTTTGATGGAGTGTAAAAAAGGGAATTTCTCTATACCAGTTGTACTGTTCTTTTCCCAAATCCAATAGGCTTTCTGTGCCTTGATGTATAAATATTATTGCTCTATCAAGAAAAGCCAGTAAAGCTATTTCACCTAACTTCAGAAGCCAAATATAAAGGAAGTGTGACAATGGAACATGTTTTTTTCCTAAATCTCATCAGTGTCCTCTCTTGACTAAGTTCAGGATATTACTTGCCTAAAAGAAACCTGGTCAGAAATATTCCTGATATGTTTCTCAGGAACGCAGGAAGTTTTTGTATTATATTAGACCAGTGGCCCATCAAGCCAGAATCAGCATAGCAACTTCAGAATTTTGGGCAGCAGACTCTGCTAGTCATGTCAGATATTAAACATGGGACCTTCTGCAGGCAAAGTATCTGCAATAGAGCTGTAGTTTTGGGAAGTACCACTTACAGAAACTTCCAATGAAAAAAACCCTAGTCAACGAAGATGTCAAATGAAGATCTAAGGCAGACAAGAAAGCAAAATCTATAATTCACATTCCTGGTTCTCCATAGGTTTGTATTGGAGGGTTCTCAACAGAAGGCTGCCCAGCTATTCTAATAGGCCAACCTTTCCTCCAGGTGTCTTCCAGGTGTGTTGCATTCTGACACCAATATTATCCAGTTAGCATGGACAAAGCCAAGAAGCCAGCAGGATGTCTGTTTGGAGAAAGAGATCATAACTATAGGGAGGGGCACCTATTTTAAATATATACCTTGACTGCTAAGGAAAAACACACACACTTTTTTTCCTGCAGACTCAGTTGTGTCCCAGTGGAGATCACACACAGATGGTGGAAGAATACAATTTAGCCCATGCTCACCAGTCTCCTTCCAGATCCACTTAAATTTCCAAAAATAAACCAGAATAATCTCTATATATGCCGTTTGGCACATAATACACTTAGTTACAAGATTAACCTGAACGAACAAGGTATCATTCCAGAAATACACTTTTTGTACACATAGAAGGTCACGGTGGTGGTGCAGTCAAAACTCTGCCTGTCCTTTATGTGCATCAGAGGGCATCATAATTGCACCACGATTTATTTGACCATTCCCAGGGTGGCTTCTGACCCTCAAGAATGCTGTGAGTCAGGTAATACAGAGCACATGCCAAGAGACAAAAGCACATTGATTTGCCTTTCTGTTCATCCTTGCACCTCTTCTCTAGCTATAACACTTAGAATGTATATGCCACTTCATCATCCTTTTACGGCCCTCTCTAAGTGTTTTAAAGAATCAGCCTTTTGCCCCCAACAATCTGAGTCCTCATTTTACCAACCTCAGAAGGATGGAAGGCTGAGTCAATCCTGAGCTGGTGAGGATCAAACTCCAGGTTGTGGGTAGAGAGAGCTTGCAATCCTGCATTTTAACCACTGAGCCACCAGGGCTCATAAATTGTTGGAAGCTGCCTTCCGTAATTTCCTGGGCACCCATGTGCATCATATGGCTACATAGCATCTCTGGAGGAACATCCAGGTAGTCCTCAATCTGCAGCCACAATCGGAATTTGTGTCAGGAAGGAAGGCAGTTGTTAAGTGAGTTGCTCCCAATTTTACAACCTTTTTTGCCAGGATTATTAAGTAAATATGGCAGTTGTTAAGTGAATCGTGCAGTCATTAAGCAAATCTAAGTTCCCTCATTAACTTTGCTGGTCCGAAGCCAGCCAGTCGCAAATGGCAATCCCATGACACACACCCACACCCCATTCCGCAACCATGCCAAACCCCTGAATTTTGATCACATGACCGTGGGAAGGTCACTTTTTTTCGCTGCCACTGTAACTTCCAATGGTCACTAAATGAATGACTGTGAATTGAGGGCTACCTGTATCACCTTTCCCCAAGGAAAGGGGGCAGCTTTTCTGTCTGGCTCTACAGAAAGGAAGGCATTTAAGAAAGGGAAGGAGAGCTTGGAGCAAAGGAAGTTCTTTTCCTACACGCCTTAACTTTTGTGTCTCTCTCTCTCTCACACACACACACACACACACACACACACACCAACCCCCAGAGGCCGGTGGGCACCCATAACCAACCTACCTAGTTTCATCAGGCAGGCGAGCAGGATCCAGAGCGTGATCTCGAAGGGCAGGTGCACCTCTTTGTACTGAAGGTCCAGAACCGGGAAAACTTTCCGGTGCTTGCCGTGCTCGCTGGTGGAAACATTCTTGGGGTGTCCGGCGTCGGGGGGCCTCTCGGCGGGAACCGGCGGAGAGGCGGTGATGCCCTCGGTCACCAAGCTGGGCTGCCGAGTGATCTCCATGGGAGTATCCGAGCCGGAGCTCTGAAGCACCGGCAGCAGGCCCAGCAGGGCAGCTGCGCCGAAGAGGAAAGGCAACGCGCGGAAGGAGCAGCGGGGCCTCCCCGTCCCCAGGCATTGCGCCGGCATGGTGCTCCTCTCGTTCCCGGGCAAAGCCGGAGGCGGCCAAGAGGGGTGTGGATTTCCGACGACCCTGCCTGGCGGTCAAGGCTTCATTGGAGGAGGGGGGGGGGTGTCTGCGGAATCAATGGAGGCCACCGACGAAACGGAGCCCGGAGAAATCCACCCGAAGCGGCGCTTGACCGGGCGAAGCGCTCATCCTAGGGGAAGGGCCGGCTTAGGACGGCGCGCCCGGCTGCGCCTCCCTTCCTAGGGACCCGTCTCTGCGGGGCGAGGGGGACGAGAGTTCAGAGCCCCGGGCGCTCAGCCGGCCAACCGCCCCTCACCTGCCAAGGCAACGCGAGGCAGACCGATCCTTCAGCCGGTGCCCAAATGCGCCTTCCAGAGGCGAGCGCCTTGAACTTGGGACGGACCTCTCACCACCTCCAAGGACAGCTGAGCGGGGCAGTTCGCAGGGGGTTTGTTTGGCTGGGAGCTGGAGACCGACCCCCCCCACCAGCAACAGCAGCAGAAGACCCGGCCGGGAGAAGCGGGCAGCAGCGGCCGGGTGGGGAGGGAGGGAAGAAAGGGCAGGAGGACGAGCGAGCAACCGGACAGCCGAAGAGGCAAGAGAAGAAAAAGCAGGCAACCGCAGTCAGGCCGCTTCCCAGTCAGGCTGCAGGAGAAGGCGCCTCGCGGGCGGGATGGCTTCTTTCTCCAGGAGCAGCCGACAGGCCAGCAGCAGCAGCAGGAGAAGGAGGAGGAGGAGGCGGCGGCAGGCACGGAGGGCTTGGGCTCCCCAGAGCTGGGAAGAAGGAAGCTGAGCCTGTTCCGGATCCTCGTGCGCCGCAGCGGGGCAGCTCCGCCCGGCCCGGCTGCTCCTCCCCCGTGGCTCCCAACGCGCGGCCGGAGGACGCTCTTTTCCTCTCTCTCTCCCACCCCGCCCGCTGCCTTTGCCTGATCTCTGCCGAGACAAGGACACCGCGGGGAGAAGCGGAGGGAGAGAAGAGGAGGAGAGGAGGGCGCCGACGACGCCACGCCGCGCCTCCCTCCCTCCCTCCCTCCGCCGCCACAGCAGCCTCCGCCGGCTGGAAGCAGCACTACACGGGAGCCTCCGCGTCGCAACCGGCCAGGAGGGCTGGGTGCCAGCCAAGCCACCGGACAAGCGAAGGAGGACGGAGGAGCCACGTCCCCGGCCTGCCTGGAGACGTCTCGGCCCACCAGGCTTTCAGACCGCCCGTTCTAGCCAGCCGCTTTCAAGGGCAGCTGAAAAGCGTTGGGGGAGCAATAAGCCGCGATAGCGGGCGCCGGACGGGTCACTCCGGCCGCCTGGCAAAGAGAAATCGCCTCAGCGCGTCTTAAGTGGAGCTACCGAATCTGAAATGCTGATATCCAGACGACGACCAGGACGGGGGAGGAGGCCTCTTCATAGTCTCTAGAAGGGAGCAGTTGGGCTGGGGTAGTGATAGTACTCGACTTACAACCATTCGTTTAGTGACCGTTCCAAGTTACAACAGCACTAAAAAACTGACTTATAGCAGTAGCACTTAGACTTATTAGAATTCTTTATTGCCCAGGTGTGATTAGACACTCAAGGAATTTGTCTCCCATGCATAAGCTGTCAGTGTACATACAATAGTGATAGATCATTATCATTGTAAAAATACATTCATTGTATACCGTGAGGGTCTTCAAACTTGGCAAGTTTAAGACTCGTGGACTTCAACTCCCAGAATTCCTGAGCTAACATGACTGGAGGAGGAATTCTGGGAGTTGAAGTCCACAAGTCTTAAAGCTGTCAAGTTTGAGATACTGCTTCACCGTGCTTTACAGCCCTGCCTAAGCAGTTTACAGAGTCAGTGTATTGCCCCCAACAATCTGGGTCCTCATTTTACCCACCTCAGAAGGATGGAAGGCTGAGTCAACCTTGAACCTGAGGTGAGATGTGAACTGGCAACTGGCATGGTCACTAAACGAATTGCTGTAAGTCGAGGACTACCTGTCATGTTCCGAGTAATGCTCCCAATCAACTCAAGACCCAGGCCTTGGCTTCCTCAAAAAAAAAAAACTTCTTTATTGGGTACATCATATTCGCATGGTCAAAGGTCAAACCAACACTGCATAATTCCCATGGCTTTGGCACACTTAACTGTTTCACTTGGTGAAAGAAATTTGGGGCTCAATTGTGGTTGTAAGTTGAGGACTAACTAGATAGTCCTCCATTTTTTAGCACAATTGAGACCAGAATTTCTGTTGCTAAATGAGCCAGTTGTGAAGTCCTTTTTTGCCAGAGTTATTAAGCGAATCCCTGCAGTTGTTAAGTGAATCATGTATCATTAAGCAATTCCAGATGTGTCTGACTTTGCTTGTTGGAAACTGGCTGGGAAGTTTGCAAATAATGATTCCATGATCCCTGGACACTATAAGTATTGTAGCATTATTGCAAATACATTTACACAACGTTTCTAACTCAAATCATTATATAACAAACTATGAAAAGTATGATAGGATGTGGAGTATTATTACAAAACAGAAGATGAGGGTCTTCTCCAAGTTCAGAGTCAGTTGAATGGTCAGTTGCTGAGAATCATCTATCTGATGTGCTTTGTAAGCTCCTAAGAAGGCACTACAGTATCTTTTTTTTCTTTCCTTATGCAAAACAAGGCATTAATAGTGTTACAAGGATAAGTATTCATGAGAGATTGTACTATCAAAATCAGCTGAGGTTGGCTAATGTTTCCATCAGGATTGGGCAAGCTTTTATTGACCACAAAAGAAAATAGTAGCAATTGCATTTTTTCTTCTTCAAGGTTCTCTGAACCTTAAAGTGGAATACAATGTGATTAAGTTCACAACCTCTCTTCCCAGATGTTGCAGTCCCAACAATTGCCTCCGCTCACCTATACTATTAATAAATTTGAAAGAGACCGATATGTGTTTCAATTAGGCATTTGTTTCATATCTGGTTGGTCTCTAAAAAACACTTTTACGCATCCTTCCTTGAACCGTAGTGAGTTCTCAACTTTCAGAACAGTGAGAAAATGAATTTTAAAATTCAGTATAAACTGCCCACAAGACATACAAAGACTAACTAACCAATAACTCTGAAAAATGATAAAACTATGGACATTGCAACATTCTACCGTGCAGCAGCCATATCACTGCAACTCGGACCCTGGCTGCATTTTTCACAGGGCTATAAAGATAACAGTTTGCAAAACTGGAGAGAGGTAGAACTAATAAGGAACATTCTGCAGAGGCTGCCTCCATGTGGAGAGAAAAAAAAATTAACAGAGGAACTAAACTGCTAAAGCTCCAAAGTCTCCAAGTAAGATGTACTTTCGTATACAGAAAAGGTTATCTTCAAAAATGGTGCATTCAGGTTACAGTCTGAGATGCTTTTACCTGCCAGCAGAGAAAGACATTCAGTTTTTCCAAAGATCAACTGTGGAAGTTACTGGAACGGGAACTCATTTTTGTGCATACAATGATCTTGCTGCAGTTACCATATACTGTACAATAACAGTTTCCTGAATTTCTATTCTAGTTCAGCATCCATAAAGTAACCAATAAAAATAATTCTGGTTTCATTATAATATTAGTCTACAATATCTTTTGCATCATGTATGAATTTGCACCCAGAATTCATACTGCAGATCTTAAATGTTGCTGAGGTTAAGAAACACTGGCTTAGTGTATTGTGTGAACTGCGATTTGTTCAGAAAACTGGGATTTGTTCAATGAGCTATGTTGAAACAACCCACCTTTGCAGGGTTATTAGCTCCCCCACCCCAGCCTGGTTTAATCTGAGAATGATGTGGTAGAAATCCCATATCATATGTTTGCCCAGACAGGTCTTCTATGTTTAACTGGGCATTTGCTTGGATCATGGCAAGGATCCCTATAACTTAAGGGTGTAATTTTCCATATTTCTAAAGCAACCGCTTCTCTGTATCCCCCTCCTGGGCAATATTCCATTTTAAAAAATCACTGTCTGAAACTTTGTAATTCTGTGCATGGATATTAGGAAATAATTTCCCAGGAAGCACCATATACAACTTAAGGGACATCCCCAGCACCACATAAACGATAGTAGCCTTCCTAACTTCCAATAGTATGTAATACAAGGACATCTGGTGATCTCCAAAGATCTTAAGAGGTCCACAAAATCAAAATTATCTGCCAGATATTGAACATATTTGAATTATTTTTATTTCTTAAAACAATAGTATTTTTATTAACTTTTAAAAATTAAGTGAATGTTTACAATAATGGTTGTTCTTTTTACATGATTCAATAAATGTTCTATGACGGCATCAATTTTAATTTTTAATATAGTAAACATCGATAAATATAAGTTATAACCCATACAAACTGAAGTTCTTTGGGGTTCTCCAAATTTTTAAAAAGTATGAAGGGGTCCCGAGTTCAAAAAGTCCAAGAAACGGCTCTAATTTGCCAAATGAGACCATTGCCCCTTTGAAAACTTCAACTCCCAGCACCCCCTCCACCCGTAATAACCCCGCCCCCTTGTGTTCCCTGTGTCGTCTCCCTCTTTCTCTTACTCTAACTGCGTAGATTGGCCCGGGCCGCCCGCCAATTGGCGGGTTCCCTTTGGGCGAGATAGCTGTCGCTCCCTTCCCGGCCAATGAGGCGTGGAGAGTTAAAGAGGGTGGGTTGCTTATTCCCGGAGCGTGTCTGCGCCGCTCGCGCGGCGGAAGGGCCCGCGCTGAGATAGAGGGCTGGTGGCGCAGTTAGCGTCGCGCAGGCGCACTGCCGGGCGCAACGGTGGAGAAAGGGGAGGGAGGGAGAAAAGGAGGGGGAGGCGGCGTTGGGGGCTTTGGTTGAGCCCGAGACAGCTGGAAAGGATAAACAGAGGAGGGGGCCGCCGAGGTCTCAGGTCCCAGCCGGGCCGGGCGGTGCTGCGCAGCCTGGCGAGCGGCTCAGGCGGCCTTCCAGCCACTCTCTCACCTCCTGGAGGGGCCCCTGCCCTGGCACAGGGGTCAGGCCGCCCCCTGCATGGAAGTTCGGGGGCTTCGTCCACTGGCTGCTGCGGCTGCTGAGCCTGCCTTGAGGAGGCCTGACAGGTAACCCCGGAGCTCTCCTTCCCGTCCCTTCGCGGAGGAGCCTGCCTTCAGAACCTCCCTTCCCACCCCGGGCGCCTTCCGCTGCCTGGACTCCAAATCCCATCAGCCACGGCCGGGAGGGCGCGCGAGGTGGTCTTCTGCAGGTGGGGAGCGATAGGGGGGAGGAGGAGGAAGGCTCTCCTTCCTCCAGAGGCGTCCATGCTGATCGCCCCACCCAACCGCACCTCTTGGTTTCTTGACCCCCCCCTTCCCATCCCCGCCCCCCCCCCCCCCAACACCTGGCCCTCTTTTGGCGTGGCTCAACCAGCGGAGCCAAAAGGGATCGTGCCCGGGCTGGGATTCGCCCCTTTCCCCCCCCCCCCCAAAAACCTGCCACTGCTCCCCCCCCCTTTGTCCACTCCAAGAGAGAATGGATTTTGGGGGGCACCTGCTTTCCTCTTGCCAAAGAATTTGGGAAATATCTTCCCATCCAGTCTGGGGGTGCATCCAGTTTGCCCCCCTTTTTTTCCGCCAGCCTGGCACAAACTCTAACAAGAGTTTGGGGATGGGTGCCTCCTACCCTGCCCGTCCCGCCTGATCTTCCAAGGAGATGCTGTCAGGATCCCTTCATACTTGTGTGTGAAGCATCTTTGAGAGCCCAAACTTCCTCTGCTAGGCACAAACTTCTGGCAGAGGAGTTTAGAAGACTTTTTGTACTTTAAATTGCACTCTGCGGGGTGGAAAGGGAGAAGTAGAGCAGATCACGTAAGGCGCCACAGCTCTCCCTCCAGCCACTTCTCTTTTGCTTTCTCGACCTCCTGCTTTTCTCTCTTGAAAGAGCTTTTCTTTCCCCTAGTCTGCATGCTGGCTCTTGGTGTAGGTTTCTTGTGGGCTCAATCTTTGGGCTGAAGGAGTGCTGTGGAATGAAAATAACAGCAATCTGAAATATCCCCTGAGCATGGGCACAAGCTGTTGCTCACTTCCTATTGCTTGTTACTGTACAGGATTCCTTGCACTGATCTGTCAAGTTTGTTTCCATACTGCAGTTTTTTTTTTCCTGCTTTACAGTAATGAGACTCAAATTCTTCCTAAAAGCAGTTGCTGGGTTGAAATTGCCTGGAATTAATTATGGTTTGTTAGATTTGGGGGTTGGTGTGAGGTTATACTGATTGTAGATTGATGTTATATATGGAAAAGCCTGATTTACTGTTTGAATGATTAATGTCATTTCTTAGCCTATTAATTTTCAGTGGCTTATAATTTCTATCAATTATCATACTAGAGAAATTATTTTTGAAGTGATTTTTAGTTTGCATGACATATTTAAACATAAATTAATCACACAAGGCTGGGTTTGGCCACAATGCTAGCTAAGATGTTATTTTTTTGTAGTTCAGGGTGTTGTGTGAATACAGTTTGTATCATTCTGGGTCTTGCTAGTATATTAGTAGCTTTGGAAGGATTTATCCAAAGTGTTGGGTTCATAAATTTTTAAATAGCTTCACTTGTTGCAGTTTCTCAGAAACAAAAACTCTTGGCTGTTTTGCTGAGATAAACATTTATTTTGCTGTATTGTTCTAATTTAGATTTTGTGTTATTTTCATTTTTAAATCAATATGTCCATGCATTTTGGGTTTATTTTGCCTTGGTGCCATGTTAAACATGTGCACATATCCAAAACAGGCTACTGTATTTTTTATTAACATTCATGTATCCTGTATTTTAAAATAGTGTTGCTATTAATTTTTTACTAGAAACCTAAATATTCACTTTCAAATCTAGTCCAGCCTGAATTTATGATGACCATTCTATGGTATGTTGTTGTTTTATTTGGGGTATAGAATCTTGTATGCCCCCAGTAATTACTGTTAATAATTTCTGGTCTGCATGTGTGATCTCATCCAATTGTGACTTGCTCAACAAACTGTGACTCAACCTATGTGTGTCCCATTTTATCCGAATCCTTAAACTTTCTTTTGGATCTCCTTAAGGTACAAATTTATATACATATTCCTAAATTATGTGTTGGTCCTTATATTTCTGTAGTTTTGTTTTCTGTTCTAGATACTTTTTGTTAAGATTTAACAAACATTTCCATGTTGAAAAATGAATTTATTTAAGAAGAAAAAAAAAAGAAATTTCTTTCTCCCTAATAATCCAAGCCCCATGTCTCATCCAACAATGTTGTTTATCAGAAATATGAGAGCCGGTATCTGGTATTTATATTGGGAAAATTGAATCAAAAATCTTTTAATATATCATGAGGTCCATCATGGGTTTCCATGATAGGCCTTCTGAGCTCAGATCACAACGTTGACTTAAGAACCAAATTTTCATTTGTTGCTCTAAAAACATAGACATCCCAACCTAATTTTTCTGTATTGCAATAGCAACTTTTAGCATTCATAGCTTTACATTGTACTTCATATATGAAGGGAAATTTTAAAAATGATTCCTTCAAATAATTGTCAGAAAATCATCTTTCAGAATGATTGTATTTAGTCATCACTCCTTTTGGGAGCAAATTATATTAGTTATTGCATCATTCGTCATCCTCCAAAACTCTACAGTTCAGTTCCCAGAATTCTGAGCAACAGTGATTCTGAATTCTAGGAACTTAAGTTACCTATCTGAAATATAACTTTGTCAGGCAAGGCTAAGCTATAGAAGCATAACTACACTTAGTAGTTTTACAGAATTGTTTTCTAATCCATCACAGACAGCTTCTGTAATTGAGCTTAGATACATAAAATATTAAATTGCTTATATACTAGGCAAGTACAGTACTAGAAAGTTTATTTGTAGTTACCTTCCAAACATTTTGTGACATCTCCTAAAGTCAGATCTTTTTTGGATTGAGAGCTGCATGGACTCTTTGAATGATATGTAAGAAAGAGGGTACATTATAAAGAAAAATGAGCAGAACCAAAACCAAAATTTAATTTCAATGAAGGTCTATTTATTTTAATCAATTCCATCTTAAATAATAAGATTACTGCCATATACTTAAATAGCAGCACTATTCAATTTAAATATAATTTAGAGAGCAGCATTTGATTTGTGTACTTTTTATCAGTAGAGATAATCCTCAACTCCTGACCACGATTGGGACAAAAAAAATTGTGGCTAAGCAAAGTAATCGTTAATTCAGACAGGTTTGATTTTATGACCCTTTCCCCCAAGGTTGTTAAGCAAATCACTGTGGTTGTTAAGTGGATCATATGGTCACTAAGCAAATCCAGCTTTCCCCATTACCTACCTTGCTTGCTTGGCAGCTTTCTGGAAAGGTCACATCATGATCAGATGACCCAGGACACTGCAATCCTTCTAAATACATGGCAGTTGCCAAACACCCACATTTTGATTAATTGACCAAGGATGCTGCAATGATTGTGAAGATTGGTGATAAATTACTTTTTAAAGTGCTGTTTTAACTTTGAACAGTCATTTAAGTCAAGAACTGCCAGTATAACCTGGCTCATTGAAAGCATTGTGAGGATAAAATATCCTATCCAATGATCCTATCTTGAAGTTCTTTTATGATGGGTTAGAATACCAACATCCCAATCAGTTCCTGATCACCAATATTCAACCCCTAATTATAACCCTTCATCTTCCAAAATGTACCTCTCTTTCCAATTTCATCACTGTAGTTGTTAGAAGTTTCCATCTTTAATATTTCAGAAGTCCTCAAATATTTCATCAACTGTACGGCATGGCTGAACGGCTGTACGTCCCTATGGCAGGATGGGATGATGTTCTTTGATATCAATAATGTTTTGGGGAGCAGCTTTGCAATGGACTAAAACCTAACTGAGTTTTCTTGGGTGTCTGTTAACCATTGATGTTGAAGATTTCTTATATTCGATTGACATTCTGCATTGTTGTGCTATTGCTAAACATTGAAAGAAAATTCTTATTTATTTTTGAATGCAGCTTAGGTGGAAAAACAATCCTGGCTACAAAGTGGTTTATATTGTACATATAACAGTCATATGCTTTTTATTATATATGGTTCCTGTAATCACCCTATAAACTGTTTATCTTAACAATTGGTAGATGTCTTAAAATGAGATCCTGTGTGATCAGTTAAAATTTCTGAAAGCTACTGGGCAGGGGGAGAGTATTTTCAAAATCCACTGAGAACTATATTTAAGAATTTAGACCTAGATTCCATCTGCGGAGAGGGATGTATGTACGTAACTTTAGAAATCAAACAACTGAGGGAAATATTTGAAAACCTCATATTAAAATTTCCTTTTTCAGCTGGAACAGCTCCATAATTTTATGTATAAATAATTTCAAAGCTTTCTCCTCTCTCCTCCCCCTCTTCTCTCCAAATTACAGGTAATTTCAATGCCTTCTCAATGGACACGAACGCTGCTGGAATGCTTGGATTCACAGCAACACCATCACTAACTTGCTTTCGTAGGCCCTATTGTGAAAAGATGGCAAAAGCAAATATTATTAGAGACCTCATTAGCAGGCAGCTCAAGGTACTTCTTGTCTTAAAGAGTCATTAACAGCGTTTTGCTAGAGGGTGAGCCGAAGTGGAGGAGGAAAGCTTTTAGAGAGGCATCTTGGGGGCTAATTTTCTTGTTGCTCCTGTCTGTTTGTGTCTTCTTCATCAGAGGCTGCTTTGTGTCTTTGCCAGAAGCCATGCCCAAGATGAATGGAACAAGCTGTTGAGCCTTATTCATCCTTTTCTCACTCTGCATCTTTAGAAATACTGAGCAGTTAGCAGGAGACCCTTTCTATTGATCCTCTTCTGCTATCATACACTCAAATTATTCTCCCTGGTTTTGTCCTGAGACTTGACCAATTGGTTATTGCTTATTGTGATCTTCTAATTTGCAAGCTCATTAAACACCGACCGGGTGGCCATTTCTATGAGATGTTTCCTAAGTTGGTTAGAAAACCATGTTATTCATCTATCTTCATCAGAATGCAAAAGACATCAAATGTTGTGTCCCATTGTTTAGGGTTAAGGTCCATAATGTTCAACATTTTAAATGTCTTGGATGAAGAGTTAGAGATAGATGAATAGATAGATGAAGTTCTGAAGAGTGGGAAGGAATTTGCAGAGGACACAGAATTGGAGGGATAACTAATGCTCTGGAAGATGGAAACGAGAGTCTCAGTCATGCAGGTCATGGTTATCCTTAAGATGTTTTTTCAAAAGGCAACTGGAGTTTCTTTGTTTTTGCTTGAAGACATTTCACTTCTCATCTAAGAAGCTTCTTCAGTTCTGAATGAATGGTGGAGAATGGAAGGACTTATATTTCTTGCTGTCATCTAGTCATTAGCACTCTTTCTGAGAGTTGTTGCAGCCACTTGGTGGTTTATCTGTATCATCAGGGTCACCTGAATAGATGAGAAAAGATTCTGCAATTTCACTTGTTAACAAGCTGAATATGAATCAATATGTCAGTATTTAAAAACTGATATTTTAAGATGCAGTTTAAAGCTACATTCATAAAAATCCGGTTCCCAAATCAAAGCCATCCAGAGTCTTTTTGACTGGGTGACCATAATAAATCTAGTAAGATAATTGTTGTGTGGAAAATCTATCTTCACTAAAGTCTGTATTGATTATTCTCATTTTGAATATTTCATCCAGTTCTGATTGTTGCATATCAGGAAAAATTCAGTCAGTAGAATAGATCAGGGAAAGGCAAGTTAGATGGGCCTGGATATTATTATTTTTGTATGCGTATTTGGAGATCAGAAGTATCTATTCTCCTTCATGATGTCTTACGCTAAAAATTATGGTTGAATGTAGAATATTAAGGCCTCTCCATTAATTGTATTTAATCTATTGTTTATAGGAAAAGGGTGCCCTCAGTTTTGAGCGACACTATCATGTTACTGACCCATTCATTCAGCGTCTGGGCTTGGAAGCAGAGTTGCAAGTAAGTAGAGGATAGTCATGGTAGCAAAATTATAATAATTTCTTATTTGTAAAGCATTTCCTAGCTTACTGGAGGTTAATTATTACTAAGCTGTTTTACCTTATTTTCCCCTATTATGTATTTCATGCATATTAAACAGGTTGAAAAGATAATAGGAAAAACTTGCTAACCCCCAACCATTTTTAAAATTTAATTAGCAGCTTGTCAAACTTCAGTGTCACTGGATTGTTAGGCCTGAGGTTGTTATGGGGAATTCTGTAATTGCCATGTTGTTTATTAGGGCCACATTTAGATGTGCCAACAACATTGTCCAGTTTGGTCTGTGCTGAATCCAGGAAGAATAGAAGCAATTTCAAAATGGAATTGGAACAAGCTGGGTCAGGATGCAATATTTTTACCTTCCTGGCGAAATGTTGAGATCAAAAATACCTTCCCCGATGGGAAAAAATAACAACAAAAAATCATTCTAATGGAATAGGAGTAATCATCATCTAATTTATTTTGAATTATCCCTCTTTTGTTGAGATATTGTGATAATCTGGAGGCAATTGGGTGTCCTTATGATCTGTGGGAGTGAGAATGACGGGAGCTTCAATCAGTATTTAGAAGTTATTAGGTTGGAAAGACCTCCACAACTGACCAAACTCTTTGTAGGTAACCCTGTATAGGGGTAAAATTGCAGGTAGTTCTTGACTTACAACCACAATTAAGCCCAAAATTTCTGTTGCTAACAAGACAGTAGTTGTGAGGTTTGCCCCATTTTATGACCTTTCCTGCCACAGTTAAGTGAATTACTGCAGTTGTTAAGTTAGTAATATGGTTGTTGCCTTTTCCAATGACTTTGCTTGTCAGAAGGTCACAAAAGGTGAATCACGTGATCCTGGAACATTGCAATTGTCATAAATTCATGCCAAGTATCTGAATTTTGAAAAATGTGACCACGAGGATGCTGCAGCAGTCATAAGTGTGAAAAGGGGTCACAAATCAATTTTTCAGTGCTGTTGTAACAAATGGCTATAAGACAAGGACTACCTGTGTGTATTTTTTTTCTATATTAATCGTGCTTTAGTGTTAAGTCGAGGTTTAAAGTATCATCCTGTTTGCAGTACTATTACAAAAATGGTATTATAAGTATTAAGGATAGAGTTTGTTGATCATACAATTAAAAAATAGCATTGAATAAACCAGGAGGTGCTCTAGAATTCGTCTCTTCTCTCTTTAGCTCAGGGTAAGCCGAGATCATTTCCCATTGCCCATACATTAAGTCACATTATTTCAATAATATGATATTCGAGGATTTGTTCAGAAGATAACACATAGGCTTGGATGCATTTAGGATTAGCAATGGAAGCAAAATAGAACACCGTTCACAGATCAGAAGAAGCTCTGGAAAGCTTAAGACAGCAAGAAAAATGGGACATGTCAGAATATGGTAGATTTTTCTTTATCCTTCTGAGTGCGTAATCTGAAATTGGTAAAGCTCTGATTTTTATTTTTATTTTGGTAGGGTCATGCTGGCTGTGTCAACTGCCTTGAATGGAATGAAAAGGGAAAGTAAGTATGTCTCTGAAAATAGATTTGTCTCCAAAGCTAAGAGATGGGCCTGGGAATTGCTGGACCACCTTAGTTTGTTTCTCTTACTCCCCTCCGGGAGGAGGTTTCAAAGTATGTCTAGCAGGACTACCAAATTCTGTAACAGCTTTGTTCCCAATGCCATCCATCTGGTAAACTCACAAGATTCGTTTTTCTCGCCATGTACATGTATACATCTGAACTAGATTGTATTGTTTTTCGGTGCCATATATATGGGTATATGCATAATTTTGTATTTATTTATTTAGTCATGTATATTGGATGTGGTGACCCTTTGAGAGCTGTATACAACAAAAATTCATTTTAATGTGTGCCGATTAGTGTACATTCAAATTGACAATAAAGTTATTCTCAGTCTAAGGCTGACCTTAAAATACCATTGTTAAATTTTACTTCACCCAATGTTGTGTTCAAGAATTTAGGAAGAGTAACACACAGTAAGGCAGAACGTACTTTAAGTATCTCATACAATAACCACGTGTGTCAAGGATTACATAATATAATTCAGAGGCTCTGCTGAAGGTTGAAGAAATGTTTTGCATGAAGAATGCAAAGCCTATGGGTTCTGGCAAGAGTAGGATGGCTCTTATGTTTAATTCAGGCTTTAATCTGAATATGAAAGTATCCTTAAGAAAGAGTAGGCACTTTCAATGAATGCCTGTAGAAAACCTATGTAGCCCAGGGGAGAATTTCTAATAGCATTTCCTGGAGGTGTATAGTGTTGATTTACCAGCTTTGTTAATAGATTCCTGGTGAACAAAGTTACAAATATAATTGACAGCTGGTCCTTGAGAGTTTTTTGCTGTGCTCTGAAACTTACATTTGTGGCTTATGGCCCAGCTGGTGGGGAGGGAGAGGGAAACTGGGCCATGTGAGCAACGGGCCGGTGTGCACACACATGCATGCACAGCTCCACTGCTCCACCTCAGCTGTGTATGTGTGTACCAGCCCGCCACTCATGCAAGTTGAGCTGCATGCGCGCATGCATTGGGCCTCTTATGTGGCCCAATTCCAAATAGGCCGCGGTCCGGTAGTGGGCCCCAGCCTGGGGGTTGGGGACCGTTGCTTTCATTGTTTCCCAACCTTAGCCCTTTCCAGGTATGTATCTCAATGCTGGCTGGAGTATCATGGGTCGGGAAACTGCCTCTCTAGGAGATGGTTGCCCCTTGACTCTATGAGATCTCTGCAAACAAATGCGGAAAGACGTGAGTTTATAGCAATTGTTTCCTAGTATGCTTTTGTGTCTCTCTTGACTTTTCAGCCTGCTGGCCTCTGGCTCTGATGACCAGCACACCATTGTGTGGGATCCTCTGCACCATAAGAAACTCCTTTCCATGCACACGGGGCATACGGCAAACATATTCTCTGTCAAGGTGGGTGGATTTGGAAGTAGGTGGTAAAATACTAAGTACAGGTAGTCCTTGACATTTAGTGACCCCGTTTGAAGTTGCAACGGCACTAAAAAAAAGGGACGGCCATTTTTTCATTTTCAGTTACACGTGATCAAAATTTGGATGCTTGGCAACTGGCTCATGTTTATGATGGTTGCAGCATCCCAGGGTCATGTGACCAGCTTTTGCAACTTTCTGCCCGGCAAAGTCAACGGGGGAGGCCATATTCACTTAACAACCACATGGTTAACTCAATAACTGTGGTAATTCGCTTCACGGCTGTTGCGAAAATATCGTAAAACGGGGCAAAGTTCAATTAACAACTGCCTTGCTTAAAAACAGAAAGGTTGGACTCAATTGTGGTCATAAGCTGAGGACCACCTATAGTTGTGTCAAGGATTAAATGTTAAGGTTAGGAAGAGTAAGATATTTGACTACGAAGCCAATAATCTGTGGCTGTTAAGTGACATGTTCCTCCAAAGATGTCTTTTTATCTGTCGGTGGGGAAGGCCTTCTTGCCATGAAAGATGTCATGCTTACTCTTCCACAGTTCTTGCCACATGCAGAGGACCGGATACTTATTACCGGGGCCGCGGATTCCAAAGTGCACGTCCACGACTTGACTGTCAAAGAAACGATCCATATGTTTGGGGATCACAAAAACAGAGTCAAGCGTATTGCCACAGCTCCGATGTGGCCCAACACCTTCTGGAGCGCAGCAGAAGATGGGCTAATCAGGTATGGTTTCTCTGATGTTCCGAGTGAACACACAGTGCCCACCCTGAAGTGAGCCTGGCTGAAGCCACCTCGGAGGCTTTCGGTGTTGCCACACAGCACTGGGAGCGGGGAAATAATTAGATGGGGGTTTGTAGCCAAAACAAAGTTTTCCTGTGAGAACCAAGGACACTCTCACAGGTGGCTGGACAGAGGAGGAGCAAGTAATCTAGCAACCGGCCAACCGGTGGGATGGGGCAGCATGACTGGGGGGTGGGGGGATGGAAAACTTTTACTTTTAATTAGGTGAAAGCCGCAAGAAACTTCAGAGTCGACTTTCACCAATTTGTACCGATATGATGTATCCAGTAAACGGTTCTTTGAGGAACTTTAGTGCCTCAGAGTTTGTTTTCTAATGGGTGCCTTACTTGGAATGCTGACACACAGCTTAGGGTTCCGCTCTGTTTAATTACCGTGTTTGCAAAAATGTTATGGCCAAACCAATAAACTGTGGGCACCAGGGATTGATTCCGTGGAGAGAGGTTTATCCATGGACCAGAGGGGGATGTGATTTCGTGTGCTGCTTGCATCTCTCGGATGGGGCTTTGCTTGTTTGTGTGGCAGTTGCTGGCATGATGTGGACCGATGCCAGTCCACAGACTGGGGGCTGGGGACCCTTGCTGTAAAGCATGATTTCATTGAATTTAGAAGTGAGCAATCCACTAATATATTGCTTATTATTAATAATTTTATAATTACTTAGTTCACTTTTCCTTGGTGGGATCGAAGTGTGATGCTGCTTGCTTCTGATTTCTGAAGGCCTGCTAATACTTTCGTTCTTCCTTATTTTTATTTATATTTAGACAGTATGACTTACGAGAGAATAGCAAACACTCAGAAGTTCTGATAGACCTGACTGAATACTGTGGGCAGCTTGTGGAGGCAAAGTGTCTCACAGTCAATCCCCAGGATAATAACTATCTCGCTGTGGGAGCCAGTGGGCCCTTTGTCCGGATTTACGACATTCGCATGATCCACAACCACAGGTAACAGAAGGGAAGACTGATAACTTAAGAGGGCTAACTTCTGAGGTACAAGAAGCATTTTTGTTTGAATGTAATCTAACAAGCAGCACGTTCAAATTCCACATTGTCATAGTTCTAATAAACGAGAATATTTGTAGCTCACGATTGACATGAGGGGTCCTTGGTGCTCTCTGAGCTTGCTTGTTTTCTTGCAGATGTTTCATGACCCAAACTAGGTAACATTATCAGTGCTAGGGTAATTTTGGGTAATGAAACATCTGCAAGAAAATAAACAGTCTCAGAGAGCACCAAGGACCCCTCGTGTCTTAGTTCTTTTTAACTATCTAACAGTGAGAGATATCCCATTTATGGCTGGAAGAAAATATAGACAGTTAATAGGGGCAAAAAAGCAGGGGATAAAAGACTGCATTTACTTCTCTTTAAATTTAGATATCATCTATCTCTAGGTGGTTGCGTGGGTGCATATTTTGTGTCTTTGTAGATAGATATCCATGATCATTAAGTGAATCCAGTTTCCACAATTGATGTTTTTTGTTGGAAACTGGCTAAGAAAGTTGCGAATTACAATCACATGACCACAGGACATTGAAACCAGTTGTAAATGCAAGTCAATTGCCAAGCACCTGAATTGTGATCATGTGACTGCAGAGATGATACGCTTGTCACAAGGATGAGGACAAATGGCAAATCACTTTTTCTTAGACTGTCGTAACTTTGAACTTTAGCTAAATGAAGCAATTGTAGGTCGAGAGCTTCTTGTAGTTCAAAATAATATTTGATGTCATGAAGTTCAGTTCAAAAAATATTCTGCTCTGGTCAGTTTGGTAGTCTGAGATGCTATGAATCTTTTGTCTGTTGCAGTAAAATTTACAAAATCTACCAGTTCTTCGGTATGTTGACATAACTATTTGAACTTTACCTCTCTAATATGCCTGGGCTGTCATAAGTTTTTCTCCTCATAAATAGAAGAAATGTATTGAGAAGAAAATATTGTCAATCCCGAAGTTGGCCTAACTAATTTTCTTTTTGTGCCTTTCTTTTAGTAAAGTTTCTCTTCTCATTGCTTCAGGGCTGACACCGCCTGGGAGCAAAGGGGCCAGGGAGGGGTGTAGAGATAGCTGGGATGTTGTAGTCTAAATAAAATTCTTTCCTCTGGGAGTCAAGGACGTTGGTGCAGGTGTTCGAAAGGCAGAGACTGAGGTCACCTAGCAACTGGACTACATGCTGATTGGACCATGTGACTGGAGACTGGAGTGGGGAGGGAAGTGTCAAAGTTTTACTTTTAATTTGATGTAAAACCAGCGGGAACTTAGAGCTGGTTTTCCACCAAGTCTGTGACAATTTGATATGTCCCATTAAAATGTTCTTTGAGGAATGTTTCTGCCTCAGAGTTCTTATTGAATGGCATGATATATTATTTGGAACGTTGACAAATACGTTCAAATATAAATTTTCCTCTCTATTTTGCCTTAGGAAAACCATGAAACAGAACCCTGCAGCTGGCGTCCATACATTCTGTGATCGACAGAAACCCCTCCCAGATGGCGCTGCTCAATACTATGTAGCAGGTAAAATTATCTCTGGATGGCGCCCTGTCCAGGGGATGGTTTTAGCGCATTCAACAAAATTCATTTGGGTGGGGAGCCTATAATGGTGAGAAATGAAAATACATTTGAGTTAACTTGCACTTGGGTGGAGTAAAGAGGGATCCTTAGCCCTCGATTGCTTCTGCTGCAAAGTAGCTGATGGCTCTTTTTTGCTGAAAGTAGAATCTGCACAATAAATGGACCTAGCTTTTTTTTAAATTTATTTTAAAAGGCTTTTCTATTTCCTTGCAAATGCTTAGCTAAAGCAGGGTCCATTCTGTCAAGATGTATTTATTAACTGCTTCTTTCTTTCTTTCTTTCTTTTCCTGTAGGGCATCTTCCAGTGAAATTACCTGACTACAATAACCGGCTGAGAGTTTTGGTAGCTACTTATGTCACTTTCAGCCCAGATGGTACAGAGCTCTTGGTCAACATGGGAGGAGAGCAGGTAATCTAGCAGGGTTCCAATATCTAAAGGGTTTCCACAAAGAAGGGAGGTGGGGGGTGTCAACCTATTCTCCAAAGCACTTGAAGGCAGGACAAGAAGCAATGGGTGGAAACTAATCAAGGAGAGAAGCAACCTAGAACTAAGGAGGAATTTCCCAACAGTGAGAACAATTGATCAGCGGAATGACGTGCTTCCAGAAATTGTGGGTGCTCCATCACTGGAGGTTTTTAAGAAGAGATTGGACAATCATTTGATTGAAATGGTGTAGGGTCTCCTGCCTGAACAGGGGGTTGGACTAGAAGACCTCCAAGGTCCCTTTCAACTCTGTTATTCTGTTAATCTTCTTCCGCTTTCAGGATCTCACTGAGCTGATTTCAGCACTCAGGCTGATTCAGTCATTGTGAAATATTATCAGGACATTTAAATGGTCAACCTCAGATGGCCTTCAATCCATTTATAAATTTCCCCAAGGCTTCAAAGCTGTTCTAGCCATCCCACACCCATCCCCAATGTATTGAATTTCATATATTGCACCCCGTAATTGTTGCTTTCTCAAATAAATTGTTCCTGTAATAGCTACTGCAGACGCAAAAGCCGATTAATGTCTATAAAGAGTTAGCCAGAAAATAAATGATTATGAAATTCTATCACAGTCTGTATCAGGTTCCCCAGATCAGGATTTGGCTGCAGATCTTTTGCCTCAACTCCATACAGGTAGTCCTTGACTTATGACCACGATTGGGGCCAGCATTTCTTTTGCTAGGCAAGGCAGTTAAGTGAATAGTACCTGATTTTATGACTTTTTTGCCACAGTTCTTAAGCAAATGACTGCAGTTGTTAGATGAATCATGCAGTTGTTAAGCGAATCCAGCTTCCTCCACTGGCCTTAGGTAACCATTCTTCTGCTCATGAATATAGTTTCAGAGAGGTGTGGGAAGCCGTTAATACCAAAAACTGGGAGCCTGGTCTGCCCTGATCATTGGAGCTGCTTCCTCAGCCAAAAGATGAGTCATTCTTTAGATTTCGAAGAACTGAAACTGATTTTTCCCAGGTTTAGATGAAGCTAAATCTTCTGCTGTTTTCATGCAGTTTTGAATCCCATTTTATGGGAGACTTTTTCTTTTTTTAAAAAACAAACAAACTTTATTGATTATACAACTAAAATGTCAAACAAACACATACACAACACAGAGAAAGAAAAAGAAAAAAAAAGTTTTTTAAAAACCCTTAGCACTTAAGGAAAAAGAAACATCAGAGCATTATAGAAGCTGGGAATGCTGGTATGACTGGACAGAACAGAAATAGAAAATATATTAGTAAACACCGTAAAATGTAAAAGAGGTAGTAATTATATACTCGCAATAAGATGTATTTGTAAATATGTCACCAATATTGATAACAAACAAGGAACCATAGACTGTCGATCAGAACGGGAGACTTTTTCTAAACGCACATTTTCCTTCGCCCTACAAAAAAACTGAATAGCTTTCGCTAGACTTACATATATTAATCAGCAACAAGTTAGAGTTTTCTTGTGAGTAATTCTGGCTGAAAATTTACTGTTCCTATGTAGTTTGTAAATTCATTGCCTTTCTTTGATTTTTTAGGTTTACTTATTCGACCTGACGTATAAGCAGCGGCCATACACTTTTCTCCTGCCAAAAAAATGCCATACTTCAGGGGGTAAGAATGCTGTACTTTTCTTAAAAGGCAGATAGTGCATTGCATTGTTTTTCAAGACATTTTTGTTTGCTTGCCCCTTCTTTTCCATTTCAAGTCCTTGTGGTTGCTAATTAAGATTTTGGAAACACATTTTGGTGTTGTATTTCTAAAGTTGCAACTGAGGAACAGGGCAATAACATCCTAGCTCCAACAAGTGAGGTACTAATACCGCTCTATGAAGCCTTAATAAGACCACATCTAGAATACTGCATCCAGTTTTGGTCACCACACTATAAAAAAGATGTTGAGACTAGCAAAAGTGCAGAGAAGAACAACGAGGATGATCAGGAGATTGGAGGCTAAAAGATACGATGAACGGTTGTAGTAACTGGGCATGGCTAGTTTAGCGAAGAGAAGGACCAGGGGAGACATGATAACAGTGTTTCAATATTTGAGGAGCTGCCATAGAAAGGAGGAAGGGAGTCAATCTATTTTCCACCTGAAGGCCAGAGAAGGAATAATGGATGGAAACCGATAAGGAGAGATTCAGCCTAGAAATAAGGAGAAATTTTCTGACAGTGAGAGCAAACAACCAATGGAACACCTTGCCTTCAGAAGTAGTGGGAGCTTCATCACTGGAAACTTTCAAGAAGAGATTGGACTGCCATCTGTCAGAAATGATGTAGGGTCTCCTGCTTGGGCGGGGGGTTAGACTAGATGATCCACAAGGTTAACTGTTAATCCAACTGTTAATCTGTTATTGCATTCAAGGTAAAATTGATAGGTTGATGGATTCCAATAACATAGAGCTATCTTCGCTGGTCAATTTAGCCATTGCCTAACCCAGTCTTACCTAGTCTACCATCTCTTAAAGTATTAGATGTCAGGATGATTAAGCATTTTTTTTGCTTGCAGTGCTGGGTCTTCTCCCAGGTTGCTAATTTCCTCCAAATTGAAAAACAGCACTGTAGAGAAGAATGCTTATCAGCCACTTGCAGTTTACCCTTGGTTCAGCCTTATTCCACTCCTTACGATTCTATCATTTTATTTCTATATTGCTTTGCTTCCCCGAAGTGCTCAGAGTGGCGTGTGAGAGCACAGTAAAAATAGCTTAAATAAACCATTCCAATAAAACCAGCGTTTAAAGCCATAACTACAAAAATGGAAGCTGACTTCATTTTTATGACCCTCAGAGGTGCAGAATGGGAAAACGTCGGCCAATGGCGTGTCAAATGGCATCCATCTCCACAGCAATGGGTTCCGGCTGTCTGAGGGGCGAGCCCATGTCAGGTAAGGTCTCTTCCTTTTCTGCCCACAGTATATAGTGCTGTGTCCCTTCCTCCTTGCCTAGGTGAAATGTTCGTGCAGAGACTTCTCGGCTAGGAATTGTGCTGGTTGCCAGAACCAGGAAGAATTGTTTCATCTAGCAAGAAGCAGTTGTATAACCCTATTATTTTGGGATGGGGGAGGACTGTAAAAGCTGAGTTTCCTCCATGCACATGCATAGTCCCCATATTAGAAAGCCACAGTCTGAAATGAAAATATTTGTCTTTTTTTTTTTTTAAAGGCCCTCTAGAAAAATGTCCCCTAAACCCACCACAACATCATTTTCCAGCCAAGGTCTGTTAGGACTTAAGTATGCACCCTGATTGGTTGATCTGGCTTAATGCGTTATGTCAATCTAGCTAGGTATACTTGATGGAATAAGCCGTGGCTAAAGCCAACATGGTTTGGAATGACGTGTGAACCAAGTCTTGGTTTCTGCAGCCCACAGGTAGAGCTACCTCCCTATCTCGAGAAGATTAAGCTGCAGGCCAATGAGGCTTTTGCTTGCCAGCAGTGGACTCAAGCCATCCAGCTCTACAGCAGAGCTGTCCAGAAAGCCCCCAACAATGCCATGCTCTATGGGAACCGAGCAGCGGCTTACATGAAGCGCAAGTGGTAAGTGACCTCTCCCTTCCTGGGAGGCCTGGCAATAACTTCTCTAGCCAATTGGCACTGAACTTCAAGACTTATTCTATCCAGATTCTAGATCTCAGGTTATGTGGACGTGTTTTTCCATAAGAGGCTCTCAGTATAACTTTAGAGGTCTGTGGAATCTTTTCTGGTTTGGTCTGCAATCAGAGGGGCTTGATGGGGATTCATTGTGCATTGGAAATATTAATTTCTGCATTCCTACAAGATTTCTATCAGCCCAAGAGAATTCTACTGAGAGAAGTTGGACATCCACTGTATCTCATCCGGTTTCCTGTGTTGCTTGGTGATTTAGGCATAGGGAATCCATAATTCAATCCACTGGGTCTTCCAGATAGGATTCTGAAATACTGGCTGGCTTCTAATAATTGGGAGGCGCGTTGGCTCAACAATTAAGATGCAGCGCTTAAGACCTGAACATTGCACGATGGGCTGAGCGCCGTCTTCCCCTAGCTCAAGGATGTCAAACTCATGTCCTGGCGTCGTCACATGACCTATCGGGACTTTTCCCCCCTTTGCTCAACCGGGCATGGGCGTGGCCAGTGTGTGACATATCTGGCCCGCGAGCCAGGAGTTTGACAGCTCTGGCCTAGCTCCTACTCACCTAGCAGTTCAAAAGCATGCAAATGCAAGTAGATAAATAGGTACCACTTCAAGTGGGGAGGAAACAGCGCTCCCTGACATCATGCTGGCCACATGACTGCCGAAATGTCTTCTGAATGCGTTGACTCAATGATGTTGAAACAAAGATGAGCGTCACCCCCTAGAGCCAGTGACTAGCGGAGTAAATTCCACAAGGACTCCTTTCGTTCCTCTGTTAATCAGTTGGACAGATGCTGAGCTGGATAGATCAGAGGCGCTTTCCTACAACAGTTTGCAAATATGTATTTGGTTGGTGAGAGAATATAAACATCACTATTCCCAATTTGATTGATTGCAGGGATGGAGATCACTATGATGCGCTCCGAGACTGCCTAAGGGCCATCTCCCTGAATCCTTGCCACTTGAAGGCTCACTTCCGCCTGGCCCGCTGCCTCTTTGAGCTGAAGTATGTAGCAGAAGCCCTGGAGTGTCTGGATGATTTCAAAGGAAAATTTCCCGAGCAAGCCCACAGCAGCGCTTGCGATGCCTTGGACCGGGACATCAATGCTGCCCTTTTCTCCAAAAGTGATAATGGTGAGGATTAAAAAGACCAAATCTTGAGCTCTTGCCCAAAGTGTGAAAAAAAATCAATTGTTCTTAAAAGGGTCAGATTTTTAAGAGACACAAGGGTGTGTGTACCATGGTATTAGCTTTTAACATTTTAGGAGGGGAAAAAATAACCCCTGTGAAAGGGATAAGTCCACACATCTTTTTTAAAAATGCCGCGACTAAGAAAGCTACAGGTCAGCATTAGTGAGTGGGGATCAGCTATTTAAATCTGGGGGAAAAAATCGGAAGAAAAACAGTTTGATCATTTAGTGCGGTGAGCCTAGAGTGTAGCTTTGGAAAAGAAACTGATGAGAATAGTGATAGTTAGGATCAGATAGACCTAAATTCACACTCCTTTTCAGCCTTGAATTCACTGTATGGCTATAGTGAAGTTGCTATATTACAAAATGTTGTTCCATGTCTGCAAGATTAGTTGGGAAAGAGAGGATGGTATAGAAAAGTGTCCCTGTGAAATTATTTTGGATCATCACATAGCCACCAGATGTTCAGACAGGATTTGGCATTTTTATCCACCTATCAAGTCCTTTCCAAGGACCTGGAATAGCAGGTGTTGTGTTTCATGGTGTTAGCGGTATCATCAAAGGATGTGAGCTGAATAAAGCTGCCTTTTGCAATTGACTAATGGTGAATTTGCCAGTGCCAATGGTGTTCAAGCGGTGCTCCAGTTGCTTTGCACCCGTGATTATTGGTATCAACTCTCAAAATAACTCTAGCTAAAGCCGTAATTTTTCTTGCTTCGTTTCTTAGTTGCCATACTCATGAGGGGGGAGGGAGGCTTATGGAATGTAGAATGTTTTCCTCCAATGTGCCAGACATAACACAGATAAGGCTCCTGAGAACCAAGGCCAGATCAATGTGCCCTAGCAACAGCAGGAGGGAGTTGTCAGCATTCCAGGAAACCTCCACGCTGACAAATAACTCCGAGACAAACATCTTCTCCAAAGTTCTGTTTTATTTGGATAATAAACTGGCACATCTGAGGAATCCAGAATCTGAAAGTTCCAGGCTTCCTTGCAATAAGTAAAAGCTACAAATCCACCCCCTGCACCCTTCATCGCATCACATGTCCCCATCGGCATTCATCCCCATTTGAGACGCCCCCCTCACCCAGATGCAGAGATAACATGACCTTGACTTAGAAGAAGAATGCTATTATGTCTAGCCACATACACTCCAAGAAACTGCCCCTCTCCCATTTTCCCAGGCTCAAGAATGTGGCAGTGTGGAAGCGTCCGGTGTCAATAGGGCTTCCAAAGCTGACAGGAGTGCTGAGAAGTTCATCACCTGCTTGCTTGGCTAACATGAAATGTGACACAAGGGTGGGGGTGGCCAGGATCTATTCTTTAATTATACAAAACATGGCAGGAATTACTCAGTTGGTTTCACCTTTGACCGTGCCGATATGATGTACCCAATAAACAGGATGGTTGAAGAAGCCAAGACCTCGGAGTCTTGAAATGGTTAGCAGTATTCCTGGGAACCATGACAGGTAGTCCTCAACTTACAGCAGTCCGTTTAGTGACATTCAAAGTTACAATGGCACTGAAAAAGTGACCTATGACCGTTTTTTCACCTTTGCAGCATCCCCATGGTCATGTGATCAAATTTCAAATGTTTGGCAAGTTGGTTCATATTTATGACTGTTGCTGTGTCCCAGAGTTACGTGATCCTCTTTTGCGATCTTCTGACAAGCAAAGTCCACGGGGAAGCCACATTCACTTAACAACTGGGTGACTAACTATTAACTGCAGCGATTCACTTAACAACGGATGCAAGAAAAGGTCATAAAGTGGGGCACTTAACAAATGCCTCACTTAACAAATGCCTCACTTAACAACAAAATTTTTTGGGCTCAATTGTGGTTGTACGTTGAGGTCTACCTGTAATGAATTAAATCTGGATATTCTGATAGCTTCTGCACTACTGTAAAACTGCAGGAATTATTTGCATAAATTGGCATTGTTTGCATGAACAGGTAATATAAATTTTCCATAATGATATACTTAGGCAAATGAGGTCAACTTAAACAAATACTTAACAACCGGGTGACTAACTTTATTAAATACAGTGATTCACTTAACAACTGAGGCAAGAAGGGTCTTGGGGCACTTAACAAATGCCTCACTTAACAACAGAATTTTTGGGCTCCATTGTGGTCGTAAGTCGAGGACTACCTGTGCTTTATTTGACCACATTCTTTCTCTTGCTATTTGCAGGTCTCTTCAATTATTACTTACTAGCTCCATACCCATGCTTCGCTGCAAAACTATGTGATTGGGCTTAGTTTGGGGGGAGGAAAATAAGGGGAGGGGAATTGTGCCTCTGCCTACCAGCATCCATCGGTATTCATCTGGCTAACATCCTGTCAGCATGTAAGAGAGTTGAGGGCTTTTTGGAAACTGAAACAGTATTTGCTGTGTGAGCAAGAAAGAAACAGCAAGGAGCCTGGGTGTGGCTTAGCTCAACAGTTCTGTATTAAAACTGCTTGGTGCTGTGAAACTGAAAGTGAATTTCCTCTCCTCTGCTTGTGTTTTGCATTTGGAACAGATTTCTTTTCAGGTTGGGAGGGGGAGTAGAACTCCTTAGCATCAGAGCGTGTTAATAATAATATAGGAAATATTAACTCTCTGATGGTCATTTCAAAAAATCCTTTTTAGCACCTAGAAGCCAAGAGGAACATATGTGCCAAATTAGAAGTTTGTAGGCTTTACGTTTCTGGAGATTTTGTGATGATGTGTGAGTGATATTTCACTTTTATATAGAGAGATTTTTTTTTAAAAAAATGCCTCCCATATCACTTTCCTGCAACTCACCTCGTTGTTATCTCCCCAAAGATCCAAAAAGAAGTAACTTAGCAATTTCATTTTCTCCAGGGGAAGACAAGAAAGGGAGTGGCCCCATCTGGCTGCGAGCAACTGGCCGCAAGGATTCCATATCAGAGGACGAAATGGTGCTGAGGGAGCGTAGCTATGACTACAAGTTCAGATACTGCGGCCACTGCAACACCACCACGGATATCAAAGAGGCCAACTTCTTCGGCAGGTAGGGAGCCTCCTCTCAAGAACCCACGGCAGCTGAGGTAATATTCAGCAGGTTCTGACCAGTTCTGGAGAACCGGTAGCGGAAATTTTGAATAGTTCAGAGAACCACCAAATCCCACCTCTGACTGACCCCGCCCCCATCTATTCTCTGCCTCCCGAGTCCCAGCTGATCAGCTGGGTTTTCTTTGGTTGCCCTGCACAGGAGAACGGAGCTGGAAAGCAGGTTAGTGGGGTGGGGAAGGAATGGGGATTTTACAGTATCCTTTCCCTGCCACACCTAACATCCCTCAAGCCACACCCACAGAACTGGTAGTAAAAAAAATCTGAATCCCACCACTGCATGGTAGGGGCGTTGGGTTTTTGTGTGGTGTGTTGCTGTCTCCACAAATTCCTTCCGGGGCTTTTTTAAAAACATACTCCCACAGCATCGGGAAATGCTGAGAAGTTCCAGAACTTGTAATTTAAAACCTTAAATCCTATATAATCCTAAATCTAAAAACCTAATATTACTGCTCCTAATTAAAAAAAACCTAACTTAACTAATTTATAGATAATGTTAAATAAAAATAAACTATCTTACAGGCATATAAAAGTAGCTATAACAGCAGGATAAGGAGCTCACTAAAAAGGGGCTGTCACACGGCAGCCATCTTCCCATCTACCGGGGGCTTTTCACAGGCTGTATGCCACGAAATTTCATGTTAATGTGTGCCGATTAGTGTACATTCAAAGTGACAATAGAGTTGTTCTAAGTAAAGCACTATACGAAGTTGTATAGAAGTCTTAAGTGTTGGTTAATTAGTACTACTCAGTGTCATGGTTCGGGGGAGGAGGGAACCTTTCTGTAAATGTAACCCACCACTAAACATCCTCGTTTTGGTTTCCTTCTAGCAATGCTCAGTACATCATCAGTGGCTCCGACGATGGTTCCTTCTTTATCTGGGAGAAAGAAACAACTAACTTGGTGCGAGTGCTGCAGGGAGATGAGTCGATTGTGAACTGCCTCCAGCCCCACCCGAGCTACTGCTTCCTGGCCACCAGCGGCATCGATCCAGTGGTACGGCTTTGGAATCCCAGGCCAGAAGTAAGATCAGGGGCAGAGGGTTCTACCTGGGTTGGAATCTGAGGTCCTTTTGGATCAGGGTTGGTGCTATTCTGCAACGGAGGAAGCTTTCAACTTCTGAACAAGTTGAAGAAGCCTCCTCAACAGAAGAAAAAGCTTATGGCCAGCTATAGTGGCAGGGCTCTGAAATGCTCCGTTTTCCCCCTTAGAAATAGAACAAAACTTTCAGAGGTATCTTAAATATTTACTTCTTTTAATCGTTTTACGTGGAATTGACTTATGACCATAATTGAGCCCGGAAATATGGTCATAAATAGCTATGATCATAAATTGAGGCAACCAAATGACCAGAAGCAAATTTCTGGCTTTTTTCATGGTGGTTGTTAAATAAACACCACGGTTGTTAAGCAAACCTGTTTATTTGAATGGGTATTCCACTCCCCGCCACCCCGAAACCAGTAAAAAAATGGCAAAAGCCAACAAAAGTCATGATCACATGATTGTGGAATTCCAGAACAGGTCATAAAGCTGATCTGCCAGATGTGTGGCTACAGACTGGACGGGCAGCGTGGCCATTTACAATGACTGGAAGTTCTGTATTGGCCTTAACACAGCCATTCCATGGCCATCAAAACTTCAAACGGTCATAAAATCAGCAGTCTTTAATCAAGGACCGCCTGTAACGATGCTTCATAGAGTGGTGTTACTGGTTGGGATTTGGGAGTTTTCCTGGACTTGGTGGTTTGTTCCTGATATGCTTTTCTTTCTGGAGTCTAAGTGGTAGAATGATGGGCTATCATTGTGAAAAATCTCCTAATGCAAGATTCCTACGTATCTTGATAGACAATTCTTGAGGGGTCCTTAGTGCTCTCTGAGCTTGTTCGTTTTCTTGCAGACGTTTCATTAACCAAATTAGGTAAGTGTTAGTGGTGGTGGGGTGTCTTAAGTGGGCTGTTTACTGTTGGCTCTTTGGCAGTTCCTTGATTGGGGTATGGTTTACTTGATTGTTGGTCTGATGTTAATCTATGCTGATCTGGGTGCTGCTTGCTCCCACCAACACTGGCAAGGCAAGCCACCAGAATATAAACTGACAGCAAACTGCACCACCTTACTAGCACAGATGATGTTACCTAGTTTGGGTAATGAAATGTCTGCAAAAAAACAAGCAAGCTCCAAGATCACCTAGGACCCCTCATGTCAACCCTGAGCTACAAATATTATCCTTCATTAGACCAAACCTTGCTAATCCGAATAGTTATGGCTTTGTGGGCAGTATTGGATCTGTGTATAAAATATTCAACCCAGTGAATATCCTATACACACCTAGCAGTGTAATAAACTTTATTTCAGGTATTACAATGTTTGTTTTTACTTTAAGCAAAACAGTGATTTTTGTTCTTGTTAGGGCAAGTATGCTTTAATATTGACTCTTTAGTGACATGGGGAAAGGAGCTGTTTTCCTCATCAGGCTCAAAAAGCATCAAGTCCCTTTGCATATATTGACACAGAAATAACCTTTACCGCATCTTGAACTAAAAGCCGCTATCTGAGTGATTTCTAAATGATATTTCCATGCTCGAGGATAACAGGCCTACTATGCATAAATCCTGGCTATCCATCTGGTAGAGGGAAGCATTATCTAACTGTATTGTTAGGTTGACATGCCCTACTAAAACAAGCAAGGATTTAGTATGCTGTGTTAAATTAACCACCATTGGCTGTGCAAATCCATACACCACAAAAATGTAAAAATAGATTTACTAGATCAGACCAGCATTCTAGTTTTTACAGCAGCCAACTAAATATATTCTGCAGCATCAGAACCATGGCTAGATCATGGCTAGCTCTGACCCTCTGTAGATTTACCCAGATGCTTTTTAAATTGCCAAATCAGTGGCCATCACCACCTCTGATGGCAACAAGTATAACTGTATGTTGGGTAAATAAATATTTCCTTTTGTTGCTTCTGTATTTCCTTATAATTTAGTTCTAAACCATGACCATTGCAATGCTACACCACCAAGTCAAACAATCCAATTTTTGTCTTGAAAGCTTCTCCTATTGTGCTGTAGGTTGGCTATCTGAATGGTGTGTAGAAAGGCACTTGTGAGTGGAACCATCAAATAGTCAATTTGGGGGCTTTGCTCTTTCCGTTTTGTTTCACAGAGCGAAGCACTAAACGGGCGAGTGGTCGAAGATATGGAAGGCGCTTCCCAAGCCAACCAGAGGCGGATGAATGCGGATCCCTTGGAGGTGATGTTGATGAACATGGGCTACCGGATCACAGGAATGACTGGTGGTGGGTCTGGAGGCTCGGATGACGAAGACAGCTCTGAGAATCAGGTCCACTGCCGGACCAGCTAAAGCTGAATGGCCTCTCCTTCCTTATTTTTTGGGGATTTTTTTTTGTTTTGTTTTTGTTTTGTTTGAAGGGAAATCTAGTTTGCTCCATTTGAACTTGGAAGGACTGCACTGTTTCACACTATGCACAGAATGGGATATGCCAGCGAGGGCAGAAGTGACTGGGTTTTTGACTGCTGCTACGATTTCTTCCTTTCCCTGTTCTACTATTAAGCAGCATGGTAATGTGGCCTGTTGAGTTTTGCCCTCCCAGCAGAAACTGGGATTCCTTTTCCACATTGTCTGTGAGCAGTGTACAACTGGTAACCTGTCCCTTCATCCAGTGTGGCTGGATGGTGGGAAGCATTGCCTACATGAGTGTGTTTTGCAGAGAGGTTGTGTGAAAGCTCAATAAAATGTAAACTAGGGCAGGGATTATGGAATAATGTTCAATGCTGCGATCTCTGTCTCCGAAACTCAGCTTGCCCGCCATGCCACGAGTTTGTAATTCAACCCCCACACTACAGCTGGTGAACATGTACACGCATCGAAAACACGACCACGCGAAGGTCGCTTAATACATGGGCTCCCTCAGTGAACATGGTTAGGAAAGTACAGAAAGTTGGCATTGGGCAGAGAGCCTCACTCTGGTTGGTACCTCATACTTCCCATCTGTCTGCATATAGAAGAAACCAAGAGAAGACTTGTGGGAAGCTACAACACGAAGCTTGGCATCTTATATAATGTGAGCAAGTAAAATTATCTGATGTGGTTGCTTTTGGAAAACATATTTTCCCTTTCTCCTAATTAACTAAGTTCCCATCTCTCGGTGGGTAAGGAGTGGAGCGTTTTCTGGAAGAAGAAAAATGTCCTTGCCAGTGAAGACCAACCTTCAACAAAGCTATACAGTACCAATAGGATAATGAACTGGTCAAAAATTTGGGATAAAGCTGCCTCTTTCCTTATTGCTGCTGTGACCTCTACTGCACAATTCTTTTTATTCTTTTCTTTGTCATTAAATCTTAAAAGAATCTATAGGAGCTTCCTTTCTCATCTATTTCCTGATTCTTTTCATGTTGTAGCCTTCTTTCCTTTGAGTGAATGTGGGAAAGATGTATGGCAAAGGCGCACATCTTAACCAAATCTTTTGGGAGGAACTGTATGTCGGGTGGGACTTTCATCTTTAGGAAAATTAGCCCTTAACACGTTATGTCATTAAGGGTTTTTCTAGAACAGAGAATGACATCAGTACTGCTGCTTACACAACTTGGGATGCATTGGTGATGGGGCAAGTGAGATCATTCCTGCTTTCGGTGGCTTAATTCAGTTGGAACTGAAAGCAAACCAAGGTAGTATTGTGTTTACATCTACTGATTCGTAATGGAGTTAAGAAATCACAGCAGATTTTCTCCCCAAATATCTTGGTTAACAATCATAGTTAGCATGATGATGTGTATGCTAGAAATCTGAAAGTGTGACTGAAGTCGCCATCCCCGTCAGTAATGTCCATAACGAACTATGATTGTGCAAATGATTAGTACATCAGGATGCCTGGTGTAGGTATGTAAGTGACATCATTTGTATACCTGTCTGTAGTTCCACAAAACATTTTCCCTTGGTCTCTTTCTGCTTGCTTATTCTGGCCAAAGAATACCCTGCAGTATACATTTAGCAGTGGTCTTTCTAACCCAAGAAAATCAGTATAGACCAGGGTTGTTTTTTTTAAATTTGGCAACTTTAAGATGTATGCATTTAAATTTCTAGAATTCCCTAGCAATTCTGAGAGTTGAAGTCCATGCATCATAAAAGTTGGCAAGTTTGAACAACACTGCCCTAGATTATCTCTTCCCATTATAGTGTTTTCGGCATCCTTTCAATTCCCATTTGGTTACTCTCAATTCTTTTGTTAATCTGGAAGGGGAGGAATCCATTCACACCTTAGGAAACCTGAGGTTTTTTTCCTCTTCCCAAATACCTGCTAGTGCCAACCACAGTCATACTGGCTCATTCAATCACCTTGCATTGGTAAAGCATTTTCTCCAGCCTACAAGGTGTAGGGATAAGAAAGCTGTGATTTCCAGCCGTTGATGTAATTCCCATGATCCCCCATAATGGCTGTGCTAGTTTAATCTCTGCTGCGAATTGGAATTCAGCAATAATTAGAGGGCTACCAATAGCTTCTCCCCACCCCTTGTAGAGAATAAGACACTAGGTTGGATTGATCTTTTCCTGACCTAGAAAAATGCTGGGGGTGGAAAGTTATAAAACCAATTGCCATTGTTCATGGAACAAAACTACTGTGCTCCTTTCCTGCTCAGTGGTTTTTAGATGTATGAAATATTCAAAGCAGCAAGAAGAATGAATTTTATGTGTAACTGGGTTCTTCAGAACTAATTTATTTTTCTATATTTTGAAGACAAGTGTTTTACGTACAGGTTGTAGAGAGAAGTACTGGGGTGCACAAGCCCCCACTTAACACCTGCCTTATTTGAACAAGTCTTGATAGCCTGAAATTTCTCTATCCAATGCTTCCCTTTGATTTGGGTTACACCCGTGTTAAAAAAATGTGTACATCTGCCTTCGTGGCCCTGCTGTAGCCATATTCATAAAAGTGATACCCTGGTAAAAGTGTTAGTTCACAGAACAGCCACCAGAACAAAGGAAGTCACAAATGGTTAAGAAGACATTTACAGCAATAGAGTGGCATATTGCAAAACACTGACCTCTTCATTGTGTTTCCACAATGCCTGTAGGCTCCCTACAGTTTTCACTACAGTACTTTTTTAGGTTCCTGCGACATTGCTGCGAATAAAAAGGATGCTGAAGTCTGGTATTTTGCTTTGCAGCCTGCTTGCTTCCTTTTTATTATTTTGAATTAAAAGAAACTTTAATTAGATGGAAGGTTACATCACACATTGTCTACTTTGTTCTAGTGAAAAGAATCAACGTTTGCTTCACTGTGTAGCTTTTGATATTAAAGCACCAAGTTCTGTTTGTTTTAACTGGTGGCTCCTTGGCAGAAAGAGTGGACTAAAAACAGTTCCATATATTAGAATGCTTCATTCCCCATATTCCAGAATGCTTTTCATTCATTCTATTTCTGAAAAAAAGGATCATTATATAGAACTGAGGGTAGAAAATTCTCAAAGAGGAACGGTTATGGTTAGATTTGGGCATGTGTCCCATTACTGAGTATGGGAGAGAACTACTTTTACCTTTTGGCTAATTACTACTTTTTTAAAAAGCCAAAACAAAGCTATTTTTATAATTAGTAGTGAAATCGCTCCAGTATATAATAGTTATAAAGAAAAGTCTTAATTTGGGTTGCTGGTGAAATGGTTGCTTTATATAACTTTTCAGGCATTCCAAGTAAGATTTTATTCCTGAAACACTGTTCGCAACCAGCCTTAGTCTTCTGTTTAGATGTTGTTATTCAGAGTGGCATGTTTCTGTTTTCTGGTTTCTGGAAGAGAAAGGATTAAGCAATTAAACATTACTTTGTTCTAGTTTTGGTGTCTTTCTATTTTTGAGACAGTTTGGACCTGGTGATTATCTACTGTGCCTTTTATAAAGATTATTGGTGATTTAATATATATGTTAGCTAAAGGCCAATCTTCCAGTTTGGCAAAAATAAACCTTAAAGTTTATTTTTTACTTATTCCTCATTTCTACTTGTCCATTTAAAAGCTGCAACTGTGCTATATAAAAAATAGAGAATTTAATTGTTGATTGTATTCCTTGCCCAAGAAGAGTTTATATCAGTCACCACCACTAAAGTCTTAAAAACTATACAGTTCCAGGTTTATGAAAGTTAAGTCTTCCTTTTATTGGCTTTTTAAAGTTTCTAAATGTATCATTTAGAAATAAATAATTAGGTATTGGGTCCTCTCTAGTTGAGACATGTGAATTTGAATGTGATTATACATTAAAAGCATAGTATAAATTAGCTCTTGTACCTTACATTACTTCCTTTTTTATTAAAAAAACCCCATACCTTCAACTTCTATTGATCAGATTATCAGGAATAACCAAACGTGATTCAAAGGGGCTAAAGGCTATGTAGTATCAAGCTGGTCATCGTGTACAGCTTGCTTGCTTGCTTGACTCTGTTACTTCCCACAGTACTTTGAAGTAGTTTCTAAGCACATTTAAAGTTCTATGTGTTTACAGAACACCACTTCCTACAGCCTAATTTTAGCTTGTGTTTACACACGCATATATACAGTATTTGTGCATAAATCTATAAATAGTGTAATGGAAGTTGATTGTCTTTTGTTCATGTTACTTGAATTCTCAATAAGGCAAACAAACCAGAGGACCTGTATTTAAGAGTGCCCGGGTATACAAATAGCTTTGTTGTGAAGTAATAGGGGTAATAGCAGTGAGATATTACTAAAATTATACTAGCCATAATAAAAAATACTAGAATGTACTCTCAGTCGTATTGATGAAAATACTTATTAAAACCAGTATTGGTGAGATACTACTGGATTGTACTACGTGTTGGCAGAATAACATCTGTGGACATTATACACACAGACAACTGATTAGCTTTTTTTCTTAATGCCTCTTTAATGTTTTGTGCCACATGCAAGAAATTTTGGGTTACAGTTTTTGCTATTTAGGATGGAAACAGTGGGTGTATCTTCATAGCTATACCAAAACATGACTTCCATCCAGTGACAGAATGTAGGCACCACATGCAGAATATCCTAGTTTTAGTCGGGTGTTGCTTTTATTTAATAGGAATAGACATAAGTGGTGCAAAAAGATCTCTGCTTTTTTTACACTTGGAAAGATGATATCAGTCAAGAGCAAATAGATGTGATTTACATGGCTGGATAGTTTGACCTGTTGTAAGTCACCATCTGTGTTTTGCAGCTGCATTAAGCAAAGATTTGTGGACATTAACTCTGAATGTTTATACATACATGGATGAATGATTCCTCAAGGCATGCTCTTGATTACAAACTTTAAAAAAAATGTGTTACAGGTAGTTCTTATGACCATAATTGAGCCCAACATTTCTGTCCCTAAGTGAGACAGTTGCTAAGTGAGTTTTGCCCCATTCCACAACCTTTCTTGCCACAGTTGTTGAGTGAATCACTGCACTTGTTAAGTAAGGAACACAGTTATTTGAATTTGACTTCCCCATTGATTTTGCTTGTCAGGAAGTTGCAAAAGGTGATCATGTGATCCCAGGACACTGCAATCATCAAAAATATGAGCCTCTGAATTTTGATCACAGGACCATGGGGATGCAACAATGGTTGTAAGTGTAAAAACAGTCACAAGACAATTTTTCAGTGCGGTTGTAACTTCAAAGGGTCAAACTTAAATAATACTGGAAATTGTTTGTGACCTGCCAGAGTTTTACTGAAGTGCATGGGATTAACATGAACCAGTTTAATCCTCTCCATACAAGGGGCCAGAATTGTAATAACCAGGATACATATTCTATTGTTCTGACAGCTCTGCTGATTGAAAGATTAGCATATTAAGGATTATTTACTTGTTCAACCTGATATCCAGTTTACAGCAGTCCCTCCTTCAGTATTATTCACAAACGGGACTCCAGTGATGAGACTATGATGTGAGATCAGGGCATCAGATTTTGAGAATCAAAGTGTAAGGCCTATATAAATCCTGGCACAGGTTTCACAAGATGCAGAGATAATCCCAAACTTGGATGCTCTAAAAAGAAATGATGGGACAAATTTATGGAAAAAGCTATTTTAGGTACATGTGATGATGGTTAACAACATAAATTCATTTCTGATACTGTGCAATGATTTCTCAGACAGTAATATTTCACACACAAATAATCATTTAGAAAAAGCAATACTGCCATCTAAAAAATTTGCTTTCAAATTTTTTCAAATCCATTCAACCTGCTGCTAAAAGTCTGATCGGGTGTTCAAACCAGCAGTGCTGACTTTTGAGCCAAGTCAAACTTAATGAAGTACTGAATAAAACTCAAAGTTTTCAATTTCAATTTTATTTCAGAAATAAAGGAGGTTTTTTATGGCCACTATTGACAAAATCAGATTCTCAGAAGTCATAGCAAAATATATTTAGCCTCCACCTTTCCCTTTCCTAAAATTCTTCACCATTGTACACAAATGTTACTGTCTACTTCTGTCCATTTTCCCATCGTTATCTGCAACTTCTTTAAAAAATATTGAACATCCATTTACAGTATATTTAACACAGTTCTCCAAATTTTTCACGAGTCGACATGCTCCAAGACATATTATGAATCTATCTATCTATCTATCATCTATCTATCTATCTATCTATCTATCTATCTATCTATCTATCTATCTATCTATCTATCTATCCATCCATCCATCCATCCATCCAGTTGTCTGTGTGTCTGTCTGCCCGTCCACCCATCCACCCACTCCCCGCCACCCGAACTTTAGAACAGAACTGAAGCAGCTTCTGGGATGAGAAGCGAAACGTCTTCAAGCAAAAAGCAAACTCCAGCCGCCTTTTGGGAGGGGGGGGAAGTACCCGCCCCCCCGTCCCCGACACCCAGCTCAAAGGCCGCGCCGTCCCCGCCCCGCCCTTGTCCGGAAGCGAGATGCCCGTCTCCAGGAAGTGATGTCATTTAGGGCACCTCCTCCTCCCCCCCCCCTCCTACCGGTGATGGAGGAAGAGGAGGCCGCGGGGGGGAAGATGAAGCAGTTCCACGGTGCTGTGGCGGTGGGGGTCGGCGGGTCCCTTGGGGCGGCGCTGGATCCGGAACGCAGCCGCTTCCCTTACTGCGTCGTGTGGACGCCCATCCCCGTTCTCACGTGAGTCTGGGGCAGCGCAGGGCTGAAGAGGGGATCCCACGGCGAGCAGGGGTTGGGGACGATGGGTCGGGGAGTCGACAGTTCCGGCTGCTTTTTGCAGGAGACCCCGGCGCGGTCTTCCTCTCTCTCTCGCGCGCGCGCGCGCCCCCATCCAACCGGTTCGTAAACAAGGTGGGGGAAATCTCGACCGCTCCTCTCATGGTTGCTGTTGTTTTGCGTGTTTAATTGGTTGTGTGGTTGTGCAAGCCCAGGCTCTTCCGAGCTCAAGCCCACCTCCCGTGTTGGTGCTTCGGTTGCAGCATGAACGTGTGATGGGACTCATGGGGTGCGGGATGAGTCTGCCTACCGAGATGAGGTGGACCGGTTGCTTTGGTGGTGTGGAGACCATAACTTGGTCCTCAACACCAATAAGAACAAGGAGATTATAATGGACTATATAGAAGGAACAGATCAGACATCCAGCCCTTGCTTATCAATGGGGAGACCGAATGGAGCAAGGGGCCAGTTTTAAGTTTCTGGGTGTTACTCTAAAAGAGGACCTGACCTGGGGGTGCCCACATTGCAGCCCTGCTCAAAAGGGCCCAGCAGAGATTATACTACCTGGAAAAAAAAAACACAACTGAATGCAAAACTGTTGGTGATCTTCTACCACTGCACCATAGAGAGTATCTTAACTTACTGCACCTCTGTTTGGTTTGCCAATTGCACAATGGCAGATAGGAAAGCACTCCAGAGGATGAACGTCATTGTCCAGAAGATCATGGGTTGCCCTTTCCCCTCTTTGGAAGAGCTTTAGAGCTCCTGTTGCCTCAAGAAAGTTCAAAACATTCTCAGAGATCCATCTCATCCTGGGCACCCTTTTTTTTTTTTGAACTATTACCATCTGGCAGACGTACAGGACAATAATAAAAACAAGGACAAATAGGCTGAAAAACAGCTTCTATCCCAGGGCAGTAGCTCTTTTGAATTATACTATATAGTGCAGTGTTGGTGCGGTGTCAGGGGTATTCGGTTCACTGTGTGGAATGTGAAGGATGTGTGTTTGTGTTTATTTCCATGGTCATGATGTGCACTGAAGATGGTGTTTGATTTCGTTGTACGAGGTGCAATGACAATAAACTAAACTAAACTAAACATTTCTGCAGTGTGGTTTGCTCTCCAAGCTTGTTTTCGTTTTAGTTTCTGAACGTGACCAGTCTAGGTAACATCACCAGTAGGATTTTCTTGTCCTGTTCCTCTTTAGCTTATACAGAGCACAGTCCTCGATATGACAGTTCATTTAGTGACCAGAGTTAACAGTGGCACAGAAAAAAAGTGACTTATAACTGCTTTTCACGCTTATGACTATTGCGGCATCCCCATGGTCAAAATTCAATAACACTTGGCAGCTGACTCGTCTTTATGACCATGGCAGTGTCCTGGGGTCATGTGATCACCTACTAATAAGAAACGTCAATGGAGAAGCCAGGTTCACAAGTGTGTGACTATCTTAAGAACTGCAGTGATTCACTGAAGTTGTGGTTTGCTGGCAGCAGGTGCGGACAGCTAAGGTCTCGGAGAGTGAGGACTCAGATGAGGAGCCTGCGTGTGATGCAGGGATGGGGCCAGGACCATCAGGGAGTGGAATGCTGCCTTTGGAGACTGTGGAGGCTGCAGCAGGGATGAAGAGGACCCCGAGGAGCCTGTGCCCAGTGCGCATGCACGCA